TTGCCTGTATAGGGCACATCTTGTGCCCCCTTCATCTGTTGATAGACATTTGGGTACCTTTTAGCAATTGTGAATAATGCTGCTGTGAATATGAGTGTGCAAGGTTCTGTTCTAATTCTTTGTAGTAACTGTGGAATTAATAAATATATGGTAATCTTCTGTTTAACTTCTTGGGAAACTGCTATACCACCCAACATGTTTTACACAAAGCCAGTAAAATGTTCCAGAATGACTCTGTGCAGACTCCTCCCTAACTCCTCCACTCAGGTGGCCCCTTGTTACCCCCAGCACAAAGCATACACACCCAGAGGCTCTGAGAGGTGCAAGGGGCTCCTGTCTCTAGAAATTGTGAGGGAACCAGCGATTGTGGCCACATCAATCAGCACTTCTCCTAGGGATCAGTGAGCAGGGGCCGGTCCCAATCTTCTGTTCTCTTTGCAACAATCGTCATTACGATAGCTTGAGTCACGTCACCATCTGATTTGCTCCCTGAGCAGAGTCTTTCTCCATGACTTTCTTCCTGTGGTTGAATTCCTTCACTCGGTTAATTAGCATGCCTGGCACTGTGGCTTAAGACTTTAATCAGCGTGGGGTGGTTTTAATTAATCGTGTGGCTCTGCATCTGGAGTTCGTTGTGTTTGGGGGTCAGGAGAGGAGCGGAGACAAAGGAGGGGAGAGGCAGCTTCTTTTGGTGTCAGGTGTGGGTAGAGAACCTGGGTATTTGGGGAGGGAGTATTGTAGTGCCAGGTGGCTCTGAAGCTACCTGGCCATCTGCGCAGCTAACTAGCAAGGTGTGAAAGGTAGCCAGAGCCATCAGGGAATAGAATTGCACCAAGAACGGAGGACTAAATCTGTTTTTTAAAAATGATTGAAAGTGTCAGGAAAATTTCTGAAACTTTCCAGAACTATCCATGGAGTGGGTGGGGAGTGAGGAAAAGCAATGATGTAGATTGGGAGATGAGGCTTCTGTTTTACTGGAAAATATAGAGCCTGATAATGAGATTTTGAAGATTTCCAAGGAAAGTTCTAGAAATGTGAGGAAGGTGGTACCAACCTCTCAAGTAATGATAGCCTTTCCACTTGGTCTGTCAGAATCCTGCTGGCACCATTTTAACATTTATGCTTTAAAAAGAGTGGGGGGAATCTGGATAAAGTTCAGAGGGTAATAAAAAGGACTGAACGTACAGGTAGAAAGATTCTTCAAGAAAAAGTTAAAGGAAGTTGAGTCACATAACCCCCCCAATGTCCCCCAGGGATCCATCTTGATGAGAAGCAAAGAAAAATACATAACGATTCCAGTAACTAGTACAAGCACTGAATTAGTTCAGGAAGCTGGGCCAAGTCCAGCGTTTCACCTCAAAGATGAAGCAATAAATGGTTTAGGGGCAGACAGCACAGTTCAAGGAGGACATGAGTGATTGGGTACTGAAGAAGGAAAGTTTTTCTAGCTGTTCAACTCCTGACCGAGGTCGTGAGGTCTGGAAGACAGAGCAGTCTTCTGTGATCTGGGGGAAGGTGGGTGATGGTACAGTGAAGAATGGGGTGTTAGTGGCAAGATAACACAGCTGACCCTTGGGCATTGGGGGGTTAGGAGTGCCAAAACCCCACCCCCACAGTCAAGAGTCTGTGAGACTCTCCACTCCCCCAAACTTATTGTTTCTTTTCTTTTTTAAGATTTCTTTATTTATTTATACAAGCACTGGGTACAGCCAGCAGTGGGGAAGGGTGAGAGAATTCTTCAGAGCCAGAGCAGGGAACAGCCAGGCAGACTGACGAAATACACTGCTGAGGGGACCAGCGGGCGACAGGAGAGGTCTGCGCGCCATGTGGGACCCTCACCGGCAGTCAGCGCTGTAGACACTGCGGGCAGCTTTGCAACCCAGCGCTCAACCGCTGCGCCACCGGGGAGGCCCTCCCCCAAACTTATTATTATATTATATAATATATTATATATAATATTATTACTCATCCCTGAGGTGTTCCTGAAAACCTCAAAGGCCCATCCGCACGTAGATTATATAATACATCATTGTATGCTGTATTATCACAATAACATAAGCTTTGAGAAAATCTTAAGGTCTTTGAGAGACTCATAAGGAAGAGACAAAACATTTACAGTAGTAGTATTTATCGATCCCTTAACTTTGGCATCTGTTTATAACCTGAATCGTCTGTCTTTCAGTACCTATATCAATGTCTTAAATCTAAAAAGTGTGGGAGATGTTATACATATTACTAGCAGTGGACACCCAACACTGAAAATATACTGTAAAAAAGAAATCCGTGTTTCTATACAGGCACCCCACTTCCGGTGTTCAGAATGAAGGAGCAATGTGGTTTTTGTATTTACTGAGAAAAGCTCACATGTAAGTGGGCCTGAGCAGATCAATCCTGTGTTGTTCGAGGGTTAAAACTATAACAATAACTGTCACTTGTAACATTCTTGATCATTTACAACGCTCATACTTATGGGGTCACCTGTGCTTTGAGAAACTCCCTGCGTGAAGAGGGGGATTTTTATTTCCATGTTTAAAGATGAGAAAGAAATGAGCCTTGGGGCAGTAGCAGGACCTTATTGCTAGTAAATGGTGAAAGTGGAATTTGGACCTAGCTCTGCAGCCTCCTACACTCTTTCAACCCAACTAAAATGACTCTGGTTTAAAATAGAATAAGGATTTTTTTAATTCCAGGTATAGACATCATTAAACACCAGTTGCAAGATATTTTTAGAAATCTGAAATCTGAACGGGGTGGCTTTTGAGAACATCAAGTTTGCCAAGCAGTTGGTCCTCTGTGTTGCACGCCCAGAACCCAGAAGCACATCCGAGACAGATTATAGAGCACGTCAATGGGGAAAACTGGAGAGGATATTAATTAAGTTTAGACCAAGAAAATGCTTTTGATTGAACAAGCCATGATTTTCTCTTGAAGCCCATGCAAAATATGGAGTGCCAGACAAGCAGCTGGAACCTAGGAAAACGTTGTTACTTACTCATGTTCCCAGCTTTCCCCATCCTGGCTCCTATTTCTACATTTTCCCCTCTAGGCATCATGGTTTGAAAGATTTTTTGCCTACTCAACAAACTGCCTTTATTAAGTAATAATATATTTCCTAGTTTTAATATGGGCCATACATTACGGAGGATACATAAAATCAGAAAGCAGCGATGATGCAATTTCCACTAGACTTTTGCAAATAGCTTGTGGACTTCATTAGCACTGGTGAATTCCTAGAGGTCCAGGTGCTTTGGTTTGGGGTGGGAAACACTATTTATTTGTTTTCATGACCAGCATAACTACACCCACTTAGGGGTGTGGGGAGAGAAATTAAAGAGGCAACAGAAATCCCATTAGTTCCCAGCTGTGTACGGAGTCAATGGGACGATGTGCTAGAAACTGATTGTCAGGATTCATTATGACTAGAGGAAGGTTGTCTGCAGGCAGAGCCGAGGCGCAGCCCCTACTGATTACACGAGAGCGATAAAAGGAAAGAGAACATTCCAAATGTGCAAGAAGACATCTGAGAATGTGGAGAAAGGGCCAGCAAGGCCAAGGGCAGAGCCATAAGAATGGGAGGAGGAGGCTGACAGATAACTTGGAAGAAGGGAACAGGCAGTTAGAAAGCTTCTTGTATACTTGAAAGCTTTACTTAGAAAGTTTCTTGTATAAAAGATAAAGAAAATTAGGGTGGAATGGGAAGCATAATCAGGTGGGTTTTGCAATTACTACTTTTCAAAAAAAAAAAAAAAAGTTTTTAGCCTAATTGCAGACTTGTAACGCGGGGGTTATAAGTTTGCCTGTGCATGAGTTACTAGTGGCCCCTGGAAGGGTAGATACCTTTAGGGAGACAGATGATCTGGGGAGCAGCCGGTGGGGAGAGGGGGTGGCGGGGAGCACAGCCTCTGCTCTGGCTCCGGGAGCAGAGTCTCCAGCAGGTTGGGGGGGTGGTTACCACCCTCAGAGTCTGTTGTCACCAGAGGGAAGTTAAACAGGAAGACCGCATCAAATTCTCTTTGGTTTGTTCAAGTTAAAAGAGTAGGTAAGAAGTCCTCCATGACATAAAGAGGCATCCCAAATGATAAATTGGGATTAAAAAAAAAAAAACAAAAAACTTCTTGAAAAGAATAAACTAGCAACATGGAAAACCATGACCAGAGCTCTAGAAAGAAAATTAAAATTCCATCTGATCCTGCATTTCATTACTAAGTACCTCCCATGTATCAGGCACTACGAAGTCATGTAAAAAGCCATCGGGGCAAAGCTACACTGGAGAACAAAGAAATTCAAAAGCTCTGTAGGAGCGTACAGGAAATGGAAGCATTTGGGCTAAGCAGAAATGTCATGTGGAACATTTTACATTAACAAGCTGCTGGTGAAAGCTAATATAAAGTTTGGGGGGTGGAAAAGGAAACCCCTAGTCATCAAAAGGATGTGGGTAAGAGGAGAAATAATAACAGCTGCTGTTTGAAAACCCCAGAAAAATTCTTAGAGCCATTTGGCCAATAAGATGAGAAAAAGAGCGAAAGTAACAGCTACAAAGGGAGTTTATGGCACCTTGTTAAAAGCTCAGAGAAAGAGAAGGCTCTTGGTCTTCGCCTAAATGCTGTCTGGATTGGCCAATAGGATGAGCCCTGAGGGGCAGGACTGGGAAGCAGATGAACATTCAGGGCAACAGAGAAATAAGAACAGAGAAAGAGAAACATTCACCACAGGGTTAAGAAACAAATAGAATAAATTAGATGTTTGTAGGGATCGTCTGAGTTTGGGTGGCAGAAAAATGTAAATGTGCAGGGCATAAATATCTGTTGTAACAATTAAACAGGAGCCCTATGAGGCCTCTTCCTAGAAATTTCTAAGAAAATCTCCCCTGCATGCTCTGTGGCCACCTGCTCAAATGCCATCACGCAAGCAGGTGCTAGTCACCAGAGCATCCCTTTGTGGCGAACCATCAGATATTCTGCAAAATCTTGACCACTCGTTTCCTTGTCATCCTGTCCCAGCTCACCCGAGTCCCTGTGGAGTCCTGTGGGCAATACCGGAGCTGCAGCGAGTGCCTTGGCTCGGGGGACCCCCACTGTGGCTGGTGTGTGCTTCATAACACGTGAGTATCACCTGCAGCTCCCCCCACCCCTTCTTCTCCTGCATCGCTCTCCCCACCTTGATCGCTCCCTGTCATTTTCTACTCCTCCTTCCCTGTATCATTTGCAAATTACATCTTCCCTCTTTGCGCTGACTTCACTTGAAATTGCCAAATTCCCCTAAGAAATTTATGGAAATGGCAGCTTGGGAGCCTGGCTGGGTCAGCCTATGGAATCAGGCTGGATAATGACACACTGGGGAGCGCATGGAGGTGGATTCCCAGACATTTCTCTCAAGGTGTTGTGACTGTAGACTGGCTTTCCGGGGCTGAACTGCAGGACAATGCATTGGATTTTTCTTTCCTGAGGATCAGATGTGAGAGGATCCCTGAATCCTGTGCAAGATCTGTACCGTCCACTTAGTGATTCAATGTCCACTTCACCTACTTGTTAATATTTCTCCAGAATCCTCTTGTGCTTGAGGCGTACAGTCCAAAGGCGTAACCCCAGGGACCCCTCTCTCTGCCGTCAGAATACCCATCTGGCTGTCAGAGTTTGCTGGGTCTTGGGCCCTACTGAGGAAGCCCAGTCCCAGCTGTCTCCTCAGTGCTGGGTCCACTTTGTTCTCTAGAAGTGGGAAGGAGGCATTTCATGGTGTCCATGGTATATGGTGGAGATAAATGATAGCATGGTAAGTGATCTAAGGGGTGGGCTGCAGGGTAAAGAAATCAGCCGAGATTTAGGGGCAGAGCTAAAGACCTTCCATAGGGGATCCAGAGACCTCACCTACTGGAGAGGCCAGTGGGCCCCCCTCTAATGGCAGGTGGTCCCAGTGAAGCTATGGCCGTACAACCAGGCTTCCAGTCAACACTTAAAACTTAACACTGTGAGTTGACATGAGTGTTAGAAATCAAGGAGAAGGACTTTAGTCTCCCTGCTAAGAGCCTGAACTGGCCACCACCAGTTGCGCATGACCAATTGCTTTCAAATTAAGAGGGTAGAGCAGGATCCTGCCTGCCCCTCGCCCCAGGAGTGCCACTGAAAACTGAAAATGGCCCCTTCATAGTGGATCTATCCTCTCCAAGGGCACAAAGACCCAACCCTTCTCTGAGTGACGGTCTCTGGCATAAGGAGTCTCAGAATGCTGTAAAAGGGCTGAAGTCCCTCAAAAATGTTATGGTGGGGCAAATAGAGAGCCATTGGTCTACACTGAAATGTCTGTAACTCAGAGGCCCTTCGTGATCAGAAATTCAGTGGAGGCGAGTTCCCGGAGGTGTGTGTCCGAACTGCAGCAGAGCCTAAGAGCAGCTGCCGCACAAGGGCAAGGAAGAAATTGCATTCAAATCCGGATGGGCTCTGCTCGATCAGAAGGGCCAAGAGACAATCCCAGAAAAGGCAGAGGGGAGCTGTTTTCGTGTCTCACCAGGGACTGTGCTTTGAACCCAGTGCTTCCTGGGGGCCACGGGGCCAGCTGGCTTCTCTTGGCCGAAGATGGCTCAGCTGCTCCTGGCACAGGGCTCTCCCACCTGGCATCAGTCGAGGGCAGTCAGAAAGGCTGGCTCCTCTCTGACACTGTCTGCAGTGGGCCAAAGGCAGGTCTCCAGGTCAGCTTTGAGCCTGCCGGGGCTGCTGGCCAGACCTGCACAGCACTGAGCCCTATGGGGAGCAGGCAGCAGAGGGGCAACAAGAGTCCCCAACTCCCACTGCCACCACACATAAATGCAAGGAGGAGGGACCAGAGATGACTTCTGTGTGGTCAGTTTGCCCTTAGATATCATATTACCTGTCCCGTGGGAGGCCTGGGGCCAGGGTGAAGTTCAGAGTGTTCATGAAGGATGCCATCAGCCTGCTCTGGGAAGCCGGCAGCTCTGCTTTCTGCATGGCCTAAACAAGACAACCCACATGTGAACTTTGGGCCACCAAGCCCAAAGCCCACCTCCCCCAGCTGTGCAGCAACCTGGCGCGACATCCCAGCTTCTCATCTGCAAATTGGACATGGTGATGTCTATCTTGCCCTTCTCACCAAGGGGGATGGGGAATCAAACGCAAGCACGGAGGTGGGAGTGATGGTGGCAGCACTGTGAAATGTGCAGGAATCCTGGCACAGCGGGGGCAGGACTGGGAGCTCAGAGGGGCCTGGATCTCATGACCTTGGTTAAGCCCCATCAATTTTCCAGATTGCTCAACTTTAATAGCATCCCTCCCGTCCCATGGTTGTCCCTAGCCTCAAACTGCCTTCCTCTGGGTGGCCAATGCCCCTGCTGGAGTCCTCTAACCTCCACTCACCTGGTATCATGCCTTTCTCTGAAGTTTGCATATTTATTCACGTGTCACATGAGGCAGCCCTTAGTAGGCACTGGCGCCAGAGAGCAGGAGCTGTGCTGTGCTTCCTCTGTGCTTCTTAGAGTTGAGGGGCTGCTCCTGGGATCCCCTCTCAGAGCCGAAATACCGCCGTGGGAAGAGACCTGTGGCTGGCAGAGTTGGTGTGGAAGGTCAAGGGTGACCGGGAAGAGCTTGCAGATACTTACCCAGGGATGCCTCAGTTTATATTAGGAGGGGAGAAAGATAAAATGTGCAGGAAGGTCTCACTGCTTTGGGAGAGTGCTGTACACATGCACACACACACTATACACACACACACTATACACACACACATACACACACACACGTCCTTGGCCCTGTTCTGTCTGTGTCAAGCCCAGTGCTAGGCTCGTGCTAGGGTAAGCCAGTGGCACTGTGTTAGCCAGTCTCTGTCCTGAAGTTCTGGGGACCAAGTGTCTGCTCTGGGGATCCAGGGGGCGGGGCCATGGGATTGCAACCTGCACTAGAATCAGTACATTTGTTAGGCCCATCCCAGGGCACGAGCCTGTGCTGAGGGATACAGGCCCCGTGAACCTGACCCCAGGCCCCCCAAGGCCAAAGAGCATCAGGAGTAAGATGGTGGGAACTCTGTGGAAAGAGAAGGACAGCAGAAGCTGTGTGTGTGTGTGTGTGTGTGTGTGTGTGTGTGTGTGTGTGTGTGTGTGCATGTACAGGAGAGAGAGAGAAACAGGAGGAAACAGAAACAGAGGGACAGGGGAGAGTAGGTGAGAAAGTGAGAGCATGTAGTTCCAGGGCCGGGCCCTGCAAACAGGTGGCTGGGTGACTCAAAGGGCTGTTTGTACCAGCAAGGACACAGGTGGGTCGCAGATGGAACAGGCTTAAGAAATGCTCGAGTAATTGAAACCCTCCCTCCTGTTTCTCTCAATTGTCACAAAGCACGGGCCTGCCAGCCCAGGAGCACCCCAGAGGCACCCTGTTGGTCACCCTCTCTAGCCTCCAGCCCTGGCCCACAGCCTGGCTGGTTTCTTCCCAAAGGTCACAGCACCTTCAACAAAGTGAGCTTTTCTTTGTCCAGGAATCCTGAGCCTGTGTTGCTGGGATGTTCACTGTGGACCCAAGCCCACCTGTTCTGACTTAGCTGTCCTGGTGGTCCTGGGACATTCCCTCCAACACCAGTCTGGGAAGCCCCCCCTTTCCACCTTCCCTCCCAAGCCTGGGCAAAGAAGCCTCTCAGTCTCAGCAGGTAACCTGACCCCAGGCAGACCCAGCCCATCCGCATCGATTGGCCCAGACATTACCTTTCTTCAAAAGGACCATCAGCTCCCCCGGGGAGGCTCATGTAACCCAAGACATTGGCAGGGAAAGATAAACTCAGCTTTTATAAAGTCTCCCCCAGCCTCCCTCCTCTTTGCAGCTTTCTTCTGTTGGGAGAATGCCCTTCCCTGGGTGGGTGAGCACAGGTGCCCATTCCAGATTCACATCTTCGCTTCTTTGTACCATTTCTGCCAAGATGGAGAAAGGGGGCAGGAAGGAAGGTGCCGCTATCTAGGGCAGGAGGAACAGGTTCAAACCAAGACCCTGCCTGGGCAGACCCAGCAGGATGCAGCTTCCTCTGCTCTAAAGCAGAGCTGAGAAGCGCCATCTTTAGCTTTACCTTGACCGTGAAACTAGAGGCTTGGGGCAGCCCCTCTGGCCTGGAGGTAGCCCCAGTTTCAAATACCATGTAAGCAGAGGTTGGGGGGCAGATCCCGGGGCCTGCTCCCTGCTCCCCTTCCCTTTGTGTCCTCCCCAGGACCAGAGGGTTGTGGCCAGGTGCCCAGGGTCAGCCCACACCATGAAGCCTTCCTGCACTGGGCAGCTCTGCGTGGCCCGTGCTTACAGGAGACCTTCAGCAGCCAAGGGTAGGGGGAGTAAAAATGGCACCGCCTGGCCCCTATGCCCTTGAAGCACAGGCTGATTCTAAAATGCTTGTCCTTCCTAAGACGTGCTCCTTCGTAGCCTGTCCCAGAGCCTGGTCTTATTTGATTTTTTTGTTTGGTTTTTATTTTATTATTTTTTTGCTTTATATTGTCCCTGAGCTTACACTGGTTGACAACAGGGCATGTGATTCAGAGGGACAGGCTCACATCTCTGCAGATGTATGTGGCCACCCCACACCGAGCACTAAAATACAATAATCAGCCACAGACCAGATGCTTTCTGTGCCAAGCCTGCTGCCCTGGTGGCAGACACGAGCCCGAGCTCCAGGCTGTTAGATAAAGTCAAGTGGAAGCTGATCAGAGTCCACTGGAGTAGGGGTGGGACGTGTCTCAAGGAGTAGGTCTCCTCCTTATTGCCGACTGGACTGTGAAGAGATGGACCAGCTGCTGTGGCCCGCCCCTCTCCCCTCAACCTTAGTGGAAATAGCTACCTCTGAACAGCGCTGCCTACTGTCAAAAAGAAGAGAGACACCCCCTCTTCACCTCCCCTCTGGCCACTGCTACCTGCGATTACTCTTCTCAGAGAGAAGGAACCTCTCCCTGTCCCTGTCACCACCAGCTGCGGCTGTGTTCATTGCGTCGTTCGTCTGGGGAGGGACTGAAGGGAAGCCGAGGCAAGACCCCAACCCAGGACCCGGGACATAGCGTGGCTTCCTGGTCCGGCAGTGAGTCCCACCATTTGAGCCACCATGCTGGGACAGGCCCACTCCGAGGCCATAAAC